GCCAAGCTGCTGTTGAGTATGGCTATTTAACGGGAGGTGGTGTGGGGTAGGCGGGAGGGTAAATGCTGCTCTTCGGTGCTCTTGCCTTGCTGAGGCTGCTTGGTCATTCTTTCCATGAGCCTGGTGGGACAGACCTGCTGCAGTTAGCTGGGGAAAGATCAAGACTGATTTTTGGCCTCTGTATTTGCAGTTGATTTATCCACCATTTTGCTTCACCATCATTTCCTCTTGCCGCTTGCTGAGCCTGACAGGGTAGCCCTGCAACAGTTTATAAAGGTCTGCTCCCTTAACCAAAGCCAGACTTGGCTGCATTTGAGCAAGATAAAACTGACTGCAGCCTTTCCTAGAGTTGGGCTCCGTTCAGTTCATGAGAATTCAACTGAAGTGCAGGCATGTCTGACGGGATTGCAAATATGTCATCCAAAATGCATGACATTTGGAAACTCTACTGTCAATGAAAGTCACTAACATCACCTAAAATAGCATATCTTTATTATTGTGAACATAGGAAAAAAGTGTATTTGTTGTATTTTCCAAAGTGGTTATCTTAAAAGGAAAACGAACAGTATATAGGAAAAGTATGTATGTGCAGAAATGCTGAAAGCCTTCTCTGCCAGTGTTGGTAATAGTGAGAATGAGAATACGTTCTGAGACTAGCCAGGTAGGACTGAGGCTCAAGGAGCTCTGTAATACTGATACCATATCTATCTATTGTGTATATGTTTTGTGCATAAATAAGAAGTTAAACTGTATGATACTCTCAAGGGTGCACTGTGTATGAGAAGCTGAGGCATATAAGTGCCTATTAATAATTTCAGAAGCATAAGTTAAATGAATTCTCTGAGGATCTTGGAGGATCTGAGGTTGAAGTATAGCTCGGACATTGATGATGAAAAGAAGTCATTAAAAAAATTAAATGGAGTGCTTTATCTGAACTCCCTATTTCATGACATGAAGCAGGCTCTTAACTGCATTCCTCATTTATTTAATTTTTTAAACAGACAGTATTGCCCTGTGTAGGAGGTAGAATTGTGGCTTTAATTGAACATCAATATGGTCAGCATTGTATGTTCCATTTGAAACTCTTTTATTTTGGGAAGCATTTCCCTAGAGATTTAATGTAGGTGGCACTTGCAGTTGTTACTAGCGTTTTGAACCTTGTGACTATTAATCCTACTCCAATAAAGATTAGAAAATAAGTTGCTTAAAATGAAAGTGGTCACTAGCATCTGGTCTCCTTCAGGTCTTTTTATTGCTAGCCCAAGAAGAGCTGAGCTACTGTGAGGAGTACTGGCCGTGTGTTCACAAAATGTTACCCGCTGCTGTCTGTGCACAGTTGGCTTTGTTAGGATTACTGCTTGCATCTCTTCAGTATTCGTATTCAGTGAGCAGCTGCAAGTGCTTGCATTTAAAGAATTATGTTTCAAGATACCGTTTAAGGTTTTTTTTCTTAATCTGCATGTTTTATTGTACATGTGAAATACAAGGAAAACACTGGAGATTTAAGAAGATGAGAGGTTTGAGTCAATCACTTTAACTTCAACTTAGTAATGCAAATCTGGCTTTGAGTGACCTTATTGATGTTTGCTCAAAGTAGCTTCCTCTTGGTACAAATGACTGAGCTTTGTTGTAGCTATTGTACAGGTAATGTACTGTCCCTTTAGAGATTGCCTTTGTATCCCTGATGCAACCTCTCTTTGCTTTAACAGACAGTGCCTGCAGAAATGCCTGGAGCTAAGGTAGATTGCATCGGTGTGCCTTATTTGATCATCTGTCAGCAACGAAAAGAGAGGATAGGGCAGGCAAAAACATGTGCCCATTGCCCTGTGCCAGTTCTTGGAAATTGGCAAATGATGTTCAAGGGGAGAGCTTGATAGCAGAGAATGAAGGACATGACAGCATATCTGAAAGGGACCTGACCACTTCTGTAGCTCATGCTTTGAAGAGAGGTGGTGAGTGACTGTTGCAAGTTGAGGGTGTAAGGGAGTAGCAGGATGTTGAGCAGTTTTAGTAGGTTGGTGCAAATAGTGCTGAGCACCCATGTCTTGAGGAGATAGTATTGTATAATAAACAGTGCCATCTTCTGGGAGGAGTCAGAATGATGCCCTTGTGGTCAGCATTTTAAAATGGGGTGGGTTTTTTTTGTTTGTTTGGCTTGGGGTTTTTCTCTTTAATAAATGCTTTGAAAAACAAAATACTGGAAGTTTAAAGACAGTGTTAATGTCTAGTAATGCAGGACCACATCTTACACTTATGAATTATCACTGATACAGTCTTTAAAGAAGAGTTTTAAACTATGCTTTGGAGTCTGTTTAAAAGAATAAAATACTGAACAGTATTCCAGAGAAGTAAATCTCAAAAATAAAAGTTAATGACTTGGTCTGCTTTACATGCTGAAGTCCATTATTTTTGTAAATGTACTTTCTAAAGCCTAGGTAATTGCAACATCTTTTCTCATAGGAAGCATAGTGATCTATAGGAAAAAGTTAAAGATCTAAAGTAAGAATGATTACTTTGTCTGTCTTCTATTGCTTTTAAGTTGTTATAGCTCCATCTTTTGGGGATGTCAGAGGGGAAAAAAGGTTTTCTGTCTTAAAATTGTTATTCTATAAATAGTTCCATTTGGGAAATACTCACTGTGGTGCAAAATCTGTAACTCGAGTTACTAAAATTATCCTAGCAAGTGGAATGTAAGATTCAGCATTTACTGAAACTCATTAACGGTGTCAGATCAATCACCTGATCTCTTATTTGGAGGAAGTGAGCAATTTTAGTCACATTAATGGAAGATGCAGCTGACATTGTGAGGAGGCTTTTTTGTTAGACACTTTCAAATAAATAAAGTATAGCCATTATGGAGGGAGAGGAAATGAGGAATCAATGTGTTAAAAATCTTTATTGCTGAAATAAATTAGGTAAGGTATATCCAAATGACAAGAGTTTGTGAGCTCTGTATAGGCAGATAGATTTGAAATTGTTTTCTTGTGTCATGATATCTTGGGTAATTTACCAGCAAAGATGCAAAGGAATAATAGTTTCTAAAAAAACAAAAAAATCTTAAGCATGTAGGTCTATTCTGAGCATGTCACATTAAGCATGCTATAGTCAGTAAATTTTATATTCCAGAGGATCTCATTTTAAAGACTATGGAGTCTGAGGTTTCTGGATAGTACAGTACTTAACTGTACAGTTAATTTTAGTTAAAGTGGTAATTGAATGTGTATTTACTTCTTCAATATCAGTGTTAGCTTGGTCTGTCACACAGTATTTAATATATTAAAAAATGTCTAACTTTCAGTGTATTCTGAATGTTTTAAAACAATGTAAATTGTTGCTGTGTGTAATCTTTGTGTCTATGCAAGTCCTCAGTATTACAGTTAGGACTTGCATGTCTGACATTTGAAAGTAATTTACTGCTGATCCTTCTTAACATGTTGATTTTAAGATGTTGATAAGAATCAGGTGTTAAAGTTTCCATTGCAAGGGGTGGTGGCCCTTGAGCGTACCTCACACTAAGTACTATATTTGCTTAGATACTGCTTAAAAACTTTTTTTTGATCTCGTAATTCAGTCAATTACTTCTCTGTAGTTTGGGAGTAAAGTATGTGTAACAATAGTCTGCTGCAAACTAGCCTGAAAAAATATTCCTCTATACATTTGGAATGCTGCGTGTAGATAATCCTGTTAACCCTTTCTACTTCGAGATAAAGTTTCACTGGTGCAGTGCTGTAATGTTATTCAATATAGTTTTTGGGTTATTGGTGGTGATGGTGATTGCTCTTTTTTGTGGCTTTGAATTCTGTTTTTTTTGTAGTCACGCCCGCATTTGGAAGTCCTAGTTCAAACCATCTGTAAGACTTTGTAGTTTTAAAGACAGGTGAACAACTCTCTGAAATCACGCTTTAAGATTTTCAGAGTGGATGGTGCAGCGTGTTATTATCCAAGTTCCCATTAACTTGGAAAATGATGTTCCAAATATCTGGAAAACATTGTGTGAATAGACAAGTAATAATGTAAGAAATCCTGTTTAGCAAAGGAAGAATGCAGTGCATGCCCTCTTTTCCAGCTGACTCAGAATTCCAGCTTGGGATTCAATACAAGAAGCGAGGCGGTAACATTAGAGTGGACACTGACCATCTCTCTTGGGTTTCCTATATCATAATCTTGTTTGATAGGATGTAGACTAAACAAATGATAGTACTTTTGGAAAGACAGATCAGAAAATGTCTGATCTTAAAACTAAAATTGTATTAATCAGAAATATTTTTTTAGTAACTGAAAAAGTGGCTTTTTTACTGAATATTGGTAATATTTATGCAGGCTGCAGGATACCAATAGAGTAGATAATTTCAAGGAAGTAATTTATATTGAAGCAAAAACAAGAATAATGTATACTCTATTGAGTAGTCATTGTATCCTAATCTGAATACATCTACATGTGCCAGAATGATGAATTCTGCCTTTCAGCAGTTGTTGATATCCTGTTTGGAAAGCTGCTCTAAGCTTGTTGTCTATTTTTTGTTTGCCCCCCGCCCCCTACCCCATCCAGATGAAGTAATCGGTATCAAGTACCATGGAGCAAGTAACAGTAAATGGAATTTTCCTAAAATTTGTGGTGTCTTTTCTTCTACTAGCCCAATAATACAATCTTTAAAAGACTCCATTAGGAACACATTAAAAAGTTTACTAGAACTTGAGAAAACGTTTCCTTAAACAATTCTTATTAAATATAACTTACACTTAATCTCTATTTTTATAATTTATGATATGAGCCTTTTCCAAAACTTTTTAAGATATTTGTCAACACCACTTAATGATAGACAACAGGCAACCTGGCACTTAATTTTAAGGAAAAGTTGACTAAGCTTACTGGTTGTGTGAATAATGGTAGGCAGGTATTTTGCTTGGTTAAAACTTGAAGGATTTTATTCTACGTCCCTTAGGTCTTGTGCAGTAGTGAATTGGTAAGCCTGACTTTCTTCCCATCTTTTCACACACAGGCAGAAGGAGAAGACAGCCTTAAAAAGATGCAGCTGATGGAGCTTGCAATTCTGAATGGCACCTACAGAGATGCCAACATCAAATCACGTAAGCATGTCATAAGCTTGAGGGTCAAGGCCATAGTAATGTTTGCAGGTTTTGATTCCTAAAGCTACTTTTTGGCAAATATACAGTAGCAACTGTGTTGGAGAATGGAAGTAAAAAACCAACAGAACAGTAGGTAGCTGTTGCAAAAGGACTCCTAGAGATAGGTTATGTCAGTTTTGGGAGTTTTATAGTTTGGATTTTTTTTAATCCCCTCTTTTTTTTAAATAGTATGTCTGGGTTTAAATATTTGCAAAAATACAGTTAAAACAAATCAACCCTTAAGCTATATTTTTCTGTTTTATGATCATTTTTTTCCTTAATACATGTAAAGGACAATGGACTCCTTTTCAATTTTATTTTTAGAGATTTAATTTGAAAATGTTACAGATGTTCAGGATACTGTGAATACTTTTTTCTGTATTATATTCCTTCATTTCATCTTGCTTGCATGTGTCCCCCCAATGTTACATTTTTCCAACAATTCATCAACTGATTTCACAGCTGAGTTCACAGGGATCAGTGATGTAATGAGCCATTTTTACGATTTCTTCCATTACATTTGTGTGAGAATGCTTTTGCAAACGCATGTATGCACAGGTTTACACTTGAAAATTAATGACATACACCACTAATGAGAGCATATACCTATTGTGTGATACAAATTATTTTCTCTAGTTGAAAATCTAATTTATTCTCCTGAAAATGTAGCTGCTGATACTGTTCCAAAGTACATTTTTGCTGTAGCTGTGATACAGATGTCAAATGTAAGCACAGTTAAATCAGTCCTTTCACTAAGGGCCTACTGATATTTGCAAATTTGTTTCTCCACACAGTCACCATTTCAGTGTTGAATATGTTTAAAGGTTGGAATGCAGTTAGGTCAATTTGAGAGTGCTTACACCAGTGTAATTATTCTGATTTGAAAGGAGACATAAGCAAGGGCTTTTACCACTACAATGGTAGTGGTAAATCTTTCAGCTCTAATGAACTCTAAGATTTAAACCTAGATCAGTTTTAAATATATTTTAGTCTCTAAATTATTGCAAATTTATGAGTAAAATAGCTTTCAAATTAGCTTAAATTGATGCAAGTTGTTGCATAGAAACCTTTATATTAATTAGAGCAATTTCTTTGATCTATTCCCATTAGTCTATTGTATCACTGTAAGTGTGAAGATGGATTTTTTTTTTTCATTTTTTGACTAGAGATTTCCACACTAATATTCACTTTTTATAATAAGACTATTTCACTGATTGTGTTTTGATTTTACTGAAAACTTGAAGAGGTAGTAACCATAATATTATTTCTGTTCAAGAAAGGAAATTAAAATGATTGAGGGTTTTTTTCAATTATACATTAAGTCTGAGCACTTTTAAAAAAAAAAAAAAACCAAAACAACATTCTCAGATCTGAAGAACTTCCTCCATATTTCTCTTTTCAGACTAAATGTTACTAGCTGATGTGGTAGTGTTTAAGAAGCTGTGCACTTTTTTTTTTTTTTAAAAAGCATCTATTTTTTTAACCTAAGCAAGGCGATAGTGAACTTCTAATACAAAGTATTTTATTTTGGGGAATTCGATATGGAAATCACTTTTGAGTCTATTTTTATTCATGCTAGAGTAGGAAAGGCAATGCACAGTGTTTCTAGGTCATTTTTAACTTCACTGATCCTGGAAACTGGAATTGTGTATATGTTTAACTACCATTTTAAGATGTATAAAAGCTATAGACTGATCCAGCAGCTCCGCATAACTGAGTATCTGTGGACTCTATAGTTGCACTAAATTTTGTACTCTGTATTTGATTATGAAAGTATTTTCCTTGTATCTCCTGCATGCATCTCAGTCTCATGCAGTCTTGATAGCATAAATGAAGAAATGTGGTCTAAATGGAGCTTTTGTGCTGTGTAACCTGTTTGAGAAATCTACCTCACTGTTCTACAATGGCTTTTTTATTTTGCATGTTCATACTTAATCACACTGGAAAATGGAAAGCTGTTTGCATTTGAATGGTGTGCTTTGGCACTGTGTGACCAGCGCATGTACTAATGATTTCCTTTTATTTTTCTTCTTTCCTACTTTTCCCCCTTTTCCCCGTTCTTTCCACGTTTTGTACTGCTATCTCCATACTTTCCTCTGAATTTCTTTGCTTACTGTAGCAGCCCTTGCCTTTTCTCTTGCAGCAACAGCCCAGGCTCCAAGGATTATTACTGGGCCTGCGCCTGTTCTCCCACCAGCTGCCCTGCGTACTCCTACGCCAGCTGGCCCTACCATAATGCCTTTGATCAGACAAATACAAACCGCTGTCATGCCAAACGGAACTCCTCATCCCACCGCTGCAATAGTTCCACCTGGACCCGAAGCTGGTTTAATTTACACACCATATGAATACCCCTACACGCTGGCACCAGCTACATCAATCCTTGAGTATCCTATTGAACCTAGTGGTGTATTAGGTAAGATCTTTGTACGCAGATGACTGGAGAATACATTGCTTATGCTTTTGCGGTATTTGCAAGGTAGAGGTAGTGGGGCTCAAAGAAAAGAATTTGAAGTAACAATCTTATCTCAGGTATATCAAAACTGCAGAGGAAAACTGCTCAAATGGTGTGACTTCTAAACATTTTAAACATGTTTTGAGTTATTAAGTATGTGTGTTTAGTATGTTAATAAGATCACTGAAAGTAAAATCTTAATGTTTGTGTGACACTAGGTGGTGGATACATAGGCAAGGAAAAAAGCCAAATAGCAGTTGACATCTATTATATATCATTTGGACTTCCATAAATACCAGATTTTTTTTGTGCTCTCTTCAACATAAATTAATTTCCAGTAATCTTTGGAAGAGAGAACTTCCCATTTTGCTCTGCCTTTTTAGTAGCAAGACTAAAGAGAATTGAAAGGCCTTTTTTTCTGTTTGTTGAGGGTTTTGCTTCTTTACTTAGTCTACAACTAGTAAATCTCTCCTCAGTGTCAGAAAGCTGTTAAACATTTTGTAAGCAAAAAGTTATTTCCATGAGTGATTATAAATCAAACTAAGTTCTGACCAGAGGATGAAACAGTTAGCAACTTTACTGATGCCTTCTTTTTTATATACATCGGATTGAAATGTCCATCATTCCTAATATTTCAGACCATTGACTTGCATAGGCGAGAATGATAAAGCAGCCATGACAATTCAGTTAACTGGTCGATATGGAACAAGCAGTTCCAGTAGTTTCTTTCTTGCCTGCCCTCTACAGAATCTAAATAATCTTTTCTCTTCAGCTTGTTCTGAATTGCATGTGACCTTGGTGCTGCATAATGTTGATTTTATAGGACTTTGATCTTAGTTTGTTCAGTGGCAGTTATTGATTTACACAAATTCTAAACATCTCTAATGAACACTGGACAATAAGGTTCAAAGTCAATATTTTGTTGAAAGTATTGAAAAAAATCAGTGTTTCACTTACGTGAGAAATACTTGTTAATCTGTATGCGTGCATGTTCCCACGTTGCATATTATACAGTACAAAAGAAAATGTATTTCAGACTTCTGCCTTTCAAGATTAGTGAATCAATAATAAAAATTTTTGTAGGACGAAAGTATGCATTAGGTCTGTTCTTGAACAGCTTATGGTTGTCCTCTGTTACCCCATAGCCAGAATTCAGTGAGGGTATGATAATGTCGTCATTCATTAATTTCTCACAAACATGTAAATGTTCTACCCAGTTCCTCCACCCCCAATCTGTCAGTTCACTTGTGATACGTCCTGGGGTAAAGTCACAGTTAGAGGCATTGTCACAGTAGCTATCAGTTGCTGGTTAGTGGCAAACCCCTCTCCTGAATTCAGTTAATAGCAAGTAAAGAAATACATCATTTAATAGTAATAATTTAGTATGACACAGGAAACTTAGATTTCTCACAGAATTTTTTATAAAGAGAAAGGAGGGGAAAATTACTCCTAAAATGGCATCTGAAACGATTGTATACTTTTCGGCTACCTGTGAGAGCACAAGTGTATTGCCCAAAAGAGATCTCACCAAATAATCTTAATTTAAAAAAGAAAAGGGAGAGAGGGGAAAAAAGAACACACCCTCCGCTTAGGTAGCACAGAATCAGTAGTTCTTAATACATCTGCTCTATTATCTGAGCAACTGCACAGAGTTAATTGAATTAAATTAACTTCTTGTTGAGTTTTATTTCATAATACATTCATTCTCATTAATAGTATGCTATATTTTGTCCATTTTTGTGGTGGACCTTTAAGATGACTTCAAACAATTCTGTTAAAAATGGCAGAGAAATGCATCCCTATTAGTATTTTTGGGGATATTGGTGTTGGGATCAAATTTTAGTTGGTGACTAACTTTTAATTCCCTTCCTTTTATCTTCAGGTATGGCTTTCCCAACGAAAGGCTAAGAATTCAAGAACGGTCTTAACTGATCCTTCATCAGATCTGAATTTTAACAAATGCTTAGTTTCAGCAGCCTTGAAAAAAGCTTGGCCTAGCAGTCAGTGACTTACTTGCACTTTTTTGCACATAGATTGAAAATAAAATAGTGCTATTAATTTGGATTAGCTCCTATTATTACAGAGTAGCTGTAATTTATGAGTGTATAGTAGTATACTGACTGCTAAGTGTTCTATATAGTGTTTGCTTTACTAATCACCTAATTCATTGCAGTTCATACTTATTGACTTAAAGTTTAAAATCACAATCTGTAGGCTTGAAGATTTGCTTTAAAACTTTTTTTGTGGTAGAACTGGAAGTGATCTTAAGGTTAGCAAATAATTGTCAGTATTAAAAGATGGCATTATTTAAAATAGTCCTGCTGCAAGAAAGGCACTTCAGTGAATATGTGACTAGTAAAGCTTAAATGTGCTTGGGTCTAATAGATTTCATGAAATACTGTAATTTTGGGATTGTAAATGAATGGATTAAACAGGTTAAGGCCAGGATGTTTAAAATAAATGCAATATTAATCTGCACAGATAAACTTCTTTTTAAGATTAAGATTTGAAACTACTGTGCCTTAACTTGTTGCTTTTCTTAAAATGAACTTTTGTAGTTAATGATCATTTAAATCCATTTTGATAAACCTGCTGTTAATGTTTTCTTTGAATGTTTTCTAACTTTGTCTTGGTAATTGCAATTTAACTAGGTGCGGTGGCTACTAAAGTTCGAAGGCACGATATGCGTGTCCATCCTTACCAAAGGATTGTGACCGCAGACCGAGGTTAGTTTAGTTCTGCAGTTCTTGTTTGTAAGAAATGCTTTGAGTGTACATGAGATTTGCAACACCACAGCTGGTTAACTAAATACCATATTTTGACCCAGTCATTATTTTTTCTCAAAAATCTGAATAGTTAATATTTTAGAGCTTTGGGAATGCTTGTAGTTTTAAAACCTTTTTTTTTAAACTAGGCTTTCCCAGCTCAATTAAGTATATAAAGTTTGTGATCTATTTAATATAAAAGCTGTAACCGATTCCCTTTTATAAACTATTTAAAGATTCATCTGCATCAGGAAACACTATGAATTCAGTGCTGCAATAATTAATTTGGTCGTGTTCTCCCCCCTCTCCACCCAGTTTGTTTTTTTTATTTGGTGTGGAAATACCAGATTGGTGTTGCAAAATAAAATGAATGGATGGTTGCTTAATGAGAAAGAAGTAAAGGAATAAATGCCTCCTGTCTGTGTCTGGAGAAATCTGAAGATTTAGATTCCTTTTTTTCCAATAAACTTTTGAGCCACTGTACTGTATATTATGAGGAGGATGCATGTTCTCAGATACCTGACTGAATTCAGGAAGGTAAGGGCTGTGAAGATAATACTTCAAAAGTTGTTTTGAGTTTGAACTACTAAGGATGGGGGAAGGGAGGGTGTTTTGGTTTTATGCCAGAATATTTTTCTTGGTGTTTGCCTTTTGCTGCTAAAATGTGTAACCTGAAGGAGGAGCAACTTTTGAAGTCCTGTTGGTGAGATGACATCCAATATTTGGGCATCTCTCTTTAACCCTTGAATGGAAAGTAAATCTTCATTTTTCTCCTGTTCCTCAAGTGTAATGCCTTTGGACCCCTGAATGAAGTATTTAAGCTTATTGAGAAAAGTGATATTTTCGGTTTATTGACATTGGCTAGGAAGCAGCGTGTGGGCTGCATTCTTATCCCATCCCTGCTGCTGACTCGCTGTGGGTTTCGGCAAGTCATTTAATCTCTGTGTATGTTTTCCCATCTGTAAAATACGGATAATAATACTTCCCTACCTCACAGGGGTGTTGTGGGGATTCTTGTTTTGTACAGGGCTTTGAGGATGCAAAGCGTTATGTGCTAAGTATTATTATTCTGTTCTCATCAAAATCATTGTTGTGCAGGCTTCCATGATATTGTAATATTCAAAAGTCAAATTCAGGTGACAGATCTGACATCTCCTAACATTGACTACACTTCACTTCTCACAACCTCCCATAAATTAACTACAAGAAAAAAATACAGATACCAGTCAATTCAGTAAAAAGGGTCCTCCTTGATATTTGCTATATTTATGCATCACTTTTATCTTTCATATGTAAGAATCTTATACTTTACAGAAAGTTTAAAGCTGGTAACAAGACACTACTTAAGTTTTCTACAAGATTGCTTTTCTTTTATATGGCTGCACACAACTTACAGCCTACTGGCTTGTTCTCATTTCTTGAGAACTCTTCAGTGGACAACAAATTATAATCAGAATAAGGTCATAGCCCATGTTTACCAAAGGAGGAAAAAAAAGGAAATAGAAAACAGATTATAACCTATTTCTGTCAAGACTAATGGGTGGTAAGGATTTGGCTGTCTTTGAAAGCTTAACCTGATGTTGTAGTTTTTGCTAATGGTCTTTCATGATCTGCAGTGGTAGTTTCAGGTGACAAGTGAGACTGCCGTTTTGTTTAATTAGATATTTGCCTGAGACAGGTAGTAAATACAATGATAAAGCACGAGGTGGGGTTGGAGAGTGGTGCGAATATGAATTTGTAGTTTAAGTTCATCATTGTAGTGTTTACTCAACATAGATTTTTAAATACTTTCCAAAAGACTTTGCTGTTTCATCTGGGTAACTTGTAAGTAAATGAGGTTAGTAAGAGATATTATTTCATGTTCTTTTAAAACACAGCCATTTCCTGATAATTCAGTGTTCGTATCTAGCCATATTGGAAGCCCACTGTTTTAATTAAATAAATAAATGCACATGGCTTAATCTCCTGTGGAATAGGTAATGCATACCTCTCTCTTCTAGCATAAAAACCATGCTGATATTTCAGGAGAATGTTATTTTATAGTCTTATCTAAATAACTCCAGAGTGTACTAAGAAACTTACACAAAGTTAACTTTACAGCTGTACTCCCTTGTGTTTTGAATTTGAAATCCTAGATTATCACTGCACAGATTTAACAGTTTCACAAAAGGTTTTGAAAAGAACTTTGTTCAGCAATAAAACAGTTTCTTTTAATGTGTTAAACATGTTGTAGCCTTAAAATGCTACCAGTATTTAACATATTCACCTATTTGGTTCTTCTGTCACCAATATACTTCTGTAGCTATAGCCATGAAAAACAATGTCAGCAAACCGAAATACTTTTTTTTCAATGTGGAAACCTTTTTTTATATAGTTAAAAGTCACTAAACCTATATTCGCATTCATTGGGTCTAAAGTTTGTTTTTAATTTGAAATTGACTTTCAGATGACTTTGTAGTACTACTGCATTCACTTTTTAAGTAGGTTTTTATTCTTTGCATAGGTTTGTTTTGGGTTTTTGTTTTGTTTTGTTTTGTTTTAGAGATAAGCACTGCATTTAAAGCAAGAATCCCCAAATGTGTAAATGTTTTACTCTTACAACTAAATGGTTAGAATTGGTGAAGGGTTGAAAAATATAGCTCATTTTAACTCAGTATAAAACCCCAGTTTATAAATAATACAAAATTGAAGTTGATGCATATAACAGAGAGACTGACTGATTTAATTGTAATAAACTTTAAATGGTGTTGCACAGTTGACAAACCTGTGTGTACTGTAGAAGGCCACAGACTTGGCAGAGGATGTATCGCAGGTGTACTGGTATTTTTAAAAGGTAGCTTGCTTTGATTATAAACTCCACAAGAAATATTAATGCTGAGATTTTTCTTGAATGTTTTATCCAAACCAACTGTCACATAATTTATATATAAATTTTAATACAATTTAATCAAAATTGTAATCAGTGTCAAAATGCTTTAAGAGTCTGTGTTTCTAGTATACCTGTAAAGTGGTGAGATTGTGCCACAAAATATTTATTTTTATTTTTGCTTATTTTTGAAACAACCATTTTAATTTAAAGAGATCCCACTTAGCAAGATTCTGAAAAATAAAATCAGGGAGCATGTGGTCTCATTTATGTTACAGTAGTAATTTTGTGCAGTGTTATGAACTGTATCCTAAATGATAGGCCATTTTTATTATGTGAAAGTAAATCAGCCCACAAGAAAGATTGCTAAATCGATGCTGTCTGTGAATATTACACCTACTGGACTTCATTTTATGTCATGGCACAAATCTGACTTTGCACTGAATACCTTTCTCACTTTCACCTCCTCTGCGTTAGTCAAAATGGCAACAGTACAAAAACTCTATCAACCTCAGAATTTATTAGCTATTATTAAGCTGTTGAATGAGTCTTAAAAAATATATAAAAAAAAATCATACTACTGTTAAGTGGACCAAGTTTGGTGAAGGAGACTGTGAGAGAATGATTAAAGAAGGAACAGCTCAAGAATACTGGGAATGATAACTTTCCACTTGAGAACTTTTTTTATGTTTTACTGTAATTTGTTTGTGGGTTTGGGTTTTATTTTTTGTTTTGTTTTGGGTTTTTTGGTTTTGTTTTTTTTTTTTTTGCAAAAGAAAATAGTATTTACAGGTGGCTTCTTTTAAAATAAAAAAATAT